GTGAAGAGTTTGTTCAAGAGAGGAGGAACGTAGGTTGTCTATTACATTGTGTAATTGTTTCAAGTCGTCTAATGTACTGGTAACAAGTTCAAGTTTTTCTTCAATGTTAGACACAAATTCTTGGGTTGGAATATGAGTCATTTCGTTTAGTTTAGCTCTAGATCTTGTCTGAATAATATGAGGCAAATCAGAGGCCATACACTAAGTATATATCAAAATTAATAAAATAGTACGTACCTTAGATTGAAGATAATCTTGTGTCTTGGTGTCGAGTGGATTCGTCACCATGTAAACAATGCGGGTTTCGTCTATCAGGGGTTGTTATGGGTGGATGGTTCGTCAGGTTGAATATACGGGAAGTGGTTGTAACGGGGAATGGGTAACTCGCAAGGCAGTGAGTGGTACACTAGGATCGCTCGACACTTATACGCACCATTCAATCATAAGGACACCAGTAATATAGTATAGCCGGATATTTATTACAACTACAATCGTCATCATACGCCCTCGGTCCTCTTCTCACATAATACGCTAGAACCCCCCATTTTTATAAACGACAGTGTTAATCGTTCAACCAATACTAGTAGTCTAAATACTTTGCATGCGTTGTCATGACGGCATGTGGACTGCGCCAGTGAGGGCGTCGCCCCATAGCATCGTTATGACAACATCAATGCAACTTGGTGACACTCGAGAAACATCGGTATATTTTTACAAATGGGTAGGATTTGACATTATTTAAAAAAGAAAAACAAGATGAGAAGTTGAACTGTAGTTCAAGTGATGTTGGCGTATTTCTAATTAAGTTTTGACACGACACGTTGCAATATTTATTAATTTTCAAGCCTTAAAACTTAACATCAACTGCGGGTTTTACGCGAATCGTCGTGGCGTTCATACGCACAACACCTCTCCATGTTTTAACTGTTAAATTGTCAGTAACAAGGGTTTATAGTAGAACTTCAATGGGATTGACGTACTGCAATGAATGGGATCAATTGTCAATGCTATAGAGGCGAATTGACGCCATGCAAGAGAATGTTTGTCGTCTACTTCACAGCCCGGTTTATACCCGATGTATTCAAGTTCCGTAGCACATACAAGTTGTTTTTATCGCCAGAATTCATTCGTAGATATCAACTTGTGTGTACGGAGTAACATTATCTAGACCTCTGCTTTTCTTTAATGCCATGACCGAGGACAGGCGCGCTCGCCACTGCGTCACTGAAACCGACAATCCTTGTGGCCATATTTTATTTATTATATGACTCGGGTAATCTGTAATTAAAAACACACTTGTACTTTGTCAGGAAATGACACAACTGCGTCACTGAAATCGACAATCTTTGCCGCCCGTGCATTTTTTAGAGTTTACCGTGATATGACTCTGACAGTCTGTAATATAGCGCTAGCTGTTGCGTCACTGAGATCGACACCCAATTACAACCCTATATGCTGGCCGAGCTCGGGACACTAGCCGAGTTACCTCACATTGCCTATACGTGTATAACATTTTGTGTGTATTTTGGCAAGTCAGTTGATAAGAATTTGGCGGGGTAAAGTGGGGTTGTGCGTTGATCAATCGTTCAGTAGTGAATGACTTTTTTTCTTTGTTCATGGTATGATAATGCTGGATATTGCCTTTAACGAATCCACACAAAAGAGTTCATAAAAACCGTACTCATGAAAGGAATGTACAGGTCATACATCAATACTGCATTGTCATTGGGTAGAGCTACGTGACTGGGGTCACGTGGAAGACAAGTTGTTTTACATGTGAATAATATGCATTGTTATATGTAGCTACAGAAATTACGCAGTGTTTTTATTCTGTACAGCAGGGCGGTGTCCGTCACAGCAGCATCCAGTGACAAACGGTAAGTTGATTGATTCGATAAGTAACTTGACCTACAACAATGTGCGTTTATATCAACCATTGTTAAGTTCTTGCTTTGGATTTGACGTGTTGTTTTGACGTGTTTTAATTTTGTTGGTGAAATGACACAGCGACATAATTCAACTTTCTACGCTTGCTTCTAGTAACATCAAACACTCCAACTACATGTTTGGATACTTTACTCAGACAATAAGTGAATCATGTCGAGTATGAGTCTCTGCAAATGGTGTCAGTCTACTACTTTCTACAATCTACATAATCGGTAACTTTGACAGAACAAATCATATCCCACAAATCGCACAGTGTTTCATTGTACTTGTATTTGTATTCCCAAACATCGTTTTAGTATACTAGTATTATATTATTATATCAAAGCCGGTGTTTGACCAAGGGAGTGGGCGATACGACTCGGATACTACGCGCCAATGTTGGGCGTGTTCACTTAATACCAGAAAACTGCAGGGATGGGAAATGTCTGGGATTAAGTAAACTTTAATTCAATAATTATTGTCTGTGTGATATTCAGAGAACGTATATCACAAATAAATGTGCATGGTGTGCCTATGTTTCGAGTGAAGTGCCGAGAAATGTTTCACCTACAAAATCTACTACAAAACGTATGTTATTTCAATCTACTACGCATGCTCAGGCCTTTCTAAAGACGAGATCCATTGTACTCGTTCGGGTTGTATGTCGATCCTAGGACTCATTGACCCAAATCGAAATCGCTGTGTCACTTTTATAAGTACCATATCTCTGCCGATTATAATGAAAATTATGACAACATCAAACCTCCGAAAGCTAGAGACATAAATAGCGTGCACTGTAGACTAGCAAAGTCGGGACTTCTTTTTTGTTTTAGAAAAAGAAATAATTATAATAAGTGTTTTAAGTCTTTTTAACGTGAT